GGTTAAAATGACTGACAATACGGTCTTAATCACGTATATCTTCCACCACAGTCCTCCCCCCCCCCCTGCCACCCACACACACACACACGCACGCACACCAGTCACACAGTATTAAAAACAAAATAGCAAACTATGAAGATCTGTACAGCTGGGTGCATTTTAGAAGATCATTTAGGGAGAGATGAGGCCAGTGTTACTGCCTACTTGTCAGCTTGTCCTGTAGTTGTCCCTATGCTTTATTCTATGCCACTCATTTCGCATACAAGGGACTTCCTCGACCCATCCACAACACCGGTCGTTTCTCAAGTCTCTCCTGAAGTACTTCTTCCGCAACAAAAAAACTGACTCGCATTTTTTTAAGTCTGCAGACACGTGAAAAACCCCATTCAAATCCACGGACTTAGTCATGTACGTCAAGTTAGTATCAGCGGTAAGTCTTTACTTGGTCAGGCCTTGAGTCAGTTTCTTGTAACTGTTCTTGTCCTCTCCTATTTCCTGCACATCTTTGAATGAACTGTCCCACCTACACGAAGGGAAGAGAACAAGCGCTGAAAGGAAGGCTGTGAAGGCGCTGGCTACGGCGTGCGCAGAAACCAAGAGGAACGCAGCGCGTTTCGTGCTTGAAACGGCGCGAGCAAAACGTTAAATGGCTCGATCAAAACGTTACAACAGCGCGAGCGCGATCGAAATGTTAAAGCAGCGCGAGCGCGATGTTAAATAGCACGATCAAAATGTTAGTTAGCGCGATCGGGGTGTTAAATAACCGAGTCAAAACCAGGGTAGGGCGGTCGCTGTTACTGCTCTGGGCCCTGTGCCTTTGCGGGGGTTTCCCTTTGCCCGCCCCTCACAGCCCGCGGGCCCCGGGGGTTAGCAAGCCCCTGGTCCGTCTGGGAGGAGACGTGAGAGTGCGACATGGAGGGATGGGCGGTGAGGTTTGTTTCGACGCCATTGCGATGCCCGGGGCCGGCCTGTCTGGAGCAGGTGGGGCGCGGCGGGGTGCGGCAGGGCAGGGCTCGGCAGGGCGTCGTGCAGCAGCAGAGGGGTGCCCACAGCGGGGCAGGCCAGGAGTCGCAGAGCAGGAAGGTGGCAGGGGCTCGGGGGCCGCACGCAGCGCACCCCCTGCTCCAAGCAGGACCAGCCCCAGCTACATCACCGCGGCTCGGGGGGCCCGCTAGTTGTGTTGAAAACCTCTAAGGATGGAGACTCCACCACCTCTGGGGAACCTGATCCAGTGCTTCACCACCCTCCTAGTGAGAGAGTTCATCTAATATCCAACCTCAGCTTTCCTTCCTGCAGCTTGAGCCCATTGCTCCTTAAAAGTGTCGAAAGCGCCGACGCGGAAGCACAGAGCGCGGGGGAGGGGGTCACGTGGTGCGCCCCTGCCTCCGGCAGCGGGGCCGACGCTGACAGCCCGCCCCTCTCCTGCGTTTAGCCTAGCAGATGCACCTCTCTGCTGATAAATGCGTGTTTCACTAATAAATGCACCTTTTTACTGGCACACCTTTGTGCTAATAAATGCATATTTTACTAATCCAGGCAGAGCACACACCAACTGCTGAAACTTCCTTAGCCTGACACCAGAAAGCTTGCTTAATAACTATTCTCCAACCATTTGGGTTGGTCTAATAAAAGATACCAAATTCACCCAAGGAACCTTGTCTGTCTATTTTACTAATACACCTTTTTGCTGATAAATGCATATTTTACTAATACACCTTTTTGCTATGGGGACTTTTTACCATCTTGTCTCATCTACACTTTTCCCAGAGCTTGACGAAGGGACTTCAATCCCAAAAGCTTGCAGAAAAGGACAATTTTCTTGCCAGTTGGTCTAAGAAAAGGTATCATTTTGGAACCATGAGTTCTAGATTTTTGTATGCCTTTTTGCTAACGCACCCTTTTGCTAATAAATGCACCTTTTTTGCTAATACACCTTTTTGCTAAGAAGCACACTTTTTTGCTAATAAACACACCTTTCTGGTGAAATTCCCACCCTCGTTCACTGCTAGCAATCTTTCATTCTCAAAGATTAGCTCTCGGGAAGGAGCCAGGACCGAGGGAGTGGGAATAAGGCCTCGTCCCTGCCTGGTGCTCTGGGCAGGCAGCTGCCCCCACCGTCCCTGGTCTCTGCTGCCGCCCTGGAGCCGCCTTCGCTCGGGTGTGGCGGAGCTGAGAAACATCCCTGCGTGGAGCTGTTCCCCCAGAGGTGCGGACCCCCAGCCAAGGCTGTTGGGAAAGGGGGGGGCTGAGCCTTGGAAAATCCAGGCATCACGGGAGAGAGGCAGAAACGCCTTCTCATGCTAGCCCAGGTCTGCGACTTGCAAGTGCAAGGCCTGGCACCCTCGGCTTTTATTAAGGTCTTTCAGAATGACCTCCACCTTAAGTTCCCCTCTGTGGCTGGCTCGCGTTCATCTCTACGCTGTGTTCTGAAACAGAGCTGGGGCCGGCGCCGGTCCAACCATTAGGCGAACTAGGAGGTTGCCTAGGGTACCAAAATTTACTGAGCGCCAAAATTGTGCGCAGAACAAAATAAACAGGAACATCATTCTAAATAACAGCCCTGGGTGGCTACGGCTCCGCCTCAGTCTAAGGCCTTTGGTTGGGAAAGGGGAGAAAGGCCTCTGAAAAGATCTCAGAGGAAAGATCACTAGAATCACGACCTCCTCCCTTTTCAACTCCAAGAGGACTTACGGCAAGAGCATACTGCTGGCAGCGTCCTCCTAAAAGATGCACCCCTCCTCGTATATCATCTTACAGCTCGTGACGCTGATTTCTTTCACTAAAATAAATTGTTTCTATTGTTTTATTGTTCATTTTGAATATCAAGTAAGTACATGTAAAAGTTCATTGTAGACTTCTTATTTTCCTCGGTATTGGAAGTGGTGGGGGTGCCGAGGTACACAGTGTGCAAGGGGGGCCAGCTACCCCTGGACCGGCCCTGGCTGGGGCTCTTACAAAGCCTGTTTTTGTGATAGGGAGGCTGGTCGAGAGATGCTGCGGGACAGCGTTCAGATGGGAAAGGGCAATGCCAGTAAGTGCAGCTGAAGTCTCCGTTTGGTATCTGGTTCAGTTGCCTGGGAAGCTGGAGAGGTACTGACCGAGAGCAAGCCCGTGGGGGGCGACGCGCCTCGCTGGAGCAGATCACAAGCATCCAACCCGTTTGATTCCCTTCGTGAAGCTTAGCAACCCATTTGTATTCACAGCAAATGGCTACTGCGCCTGGTCTGAAGTGAGAAGGGCTCATGGATATCAATATAATATCTGTATGGACATTGTTCCTAGAAATATCATTTCAAACAACCTGAAAAGCTTCCCCCCACCACCAAAATATGAAACCTATTTGCAGGTTAGAAGCAAGTATCAGCTAATCGCCATTATCTTATCTGAAGAGGTTAAAAAGCAACCTGCAATCTCCAATTACAAATTATTTGGTAGACATTACACTTTGTCAAGTAAATAAAGAAAAAAGAAGTTTAATTTCCCAAAATTTTATTAAAAACAGGTTCTGCCAAAAGATACATTATTGCAAAGATGGAATCTTGCACCAGTCAGGAAAGTTTGCCGTAACCACCAGCTTTAACCCAATAAAAAACTCTTTATGCTGTATTAAAAGTAGAGGGCTTTTCTACAATAAATGCACTTCCCATTCAGGGTAACACCAGCTCTCTTACAGTCCGTTAGGTTAACATGACTCTAAAGTGATTTTAGAGAAGTGACTCTCTCTTTTCTGTTATTCGTGACCCATGTAACTGGGCAGACATACGCATTTCATTTTGCCCTCTTATCTAACCCCGCTCTCTCTTTCCTCTCGTCAGAATTAAACAAAAGCCAGAGAGTAATCTGTGCAATCAAGTCCCCTGACATTAGTGACCTACCTTTGGTAGCACAATTGTTCCCTTTCACAGCCCGAAATAGTTGATTTAGCTAGGACTATTGGCTTTCCAACCCTTTAAAGCAACAAACATTTCATACCTACAAATCCCAAACATACAAACAATAGAAGGAGTAACATCAAATAAGAGAACTGCTAGCGTTTGGGGACAACAGCATGTCTGATGACTTATCTGCAGTCAGACTGGGGCTTGGTGTCAAGGAGGCTAGAGATGGGGCTTTTGCACATGGCAGTTTCTGTGTGAGCTCTGCAAGTGCTAGACAAGTAAGGACCCAGTTGTACAGACATTCAGCGAGGACCGAGCCGTGCTGCCACACGTCTCCCCTAGGCACACCTGAAAAAGAGAAAAGACGTTAACCCAGAAGTCCTAGTGGGAAGTGGGGCACAGCACTGCACCGGCATGGACCTCTGCACCCAGGGAGAATCCCACTGAAGATGGTGGAAGTTCGCACAGGACCAGGGGCAGCGTCCTAGCGAATTCTGATGTGGGAACACGCGCTGCTAGAGTCTCTTACTGACAGATGAAACCCGAAGTGAAGCTTCTCACCCAGATTGCAGGGGAGAAATCTATTTTAAGACAACTGGTAATCACACTTCCTCACTGAGTGAGAATGAATTACCTCCATCCACTGCTGCACATTTTAATTCCCAACATGGCTTTTTCACAGTGGGGAGAACAGTACTAATATTTCACAGTGGTTGGAAAATACTTGTTTCTATTGCTTGCTTGACAAATGATATAAATATTTCCAAATGAGACAAACGATGTTTATGGTTGTTCTGCTAGAATACTGACAACCGCTGTGAGCAAACAAATGGGGATCTCGATTTGACTGTTAAACAGAAACGCTCTTCGTTTTTCCATGCAAGGTATTTGAATATTGTCAAGCTTGGAGAGCTGGACTAAGTCCACACTCTAATTATCCTTTACAGTTCAGGTTTGAGTTCGGCGGGACAAATCAACAGCGCGGCAGACATGGGCCACTGAAGTTTAAAAGGTCCTTGTAAAGTGTATGTTGGTGTTGAATACAGAGTACTTAATACATCTATATGTATGTTGACACAAAAAAGGTAAGAGCATCAGCGTGGCAGATGCTGGTTAAGTGATCTGCTGGAGGATAAGTACATCTATTACAGTCTTCTAATATATTCTTCCTAGAGGGGCTCCTGTAGGAAGAGGCCATTCTTGCAGGCACAGCCCATGCTAAGATCAGAAGTGACCAACAAAAGCTAATCGCCACATGTAATTAGCTCGATTCTAGCAAGGTCAGATGTGTCCTTGTTGTTTCTCAGGCGATGGACACTCATCTAACGTATGGCATTAAAGGCACCTGAAATGCTGCATGTTTTTCTGCTGTGTTCCACTGTGAAATAGTCTGTTACACCTCGGTGTCGTTTTACCCGTGCATGGGGTGGGCAGCTATTATAGTACAGGGCAAGCACATGTGGCATGTGATGGTTACACGGAAGACTCATTGCAGACGTCTCACTGTACATCTTGAAAATCATTCATAGAGGGGGCAGTGCTGCCTGGATTCAAGTTTTCAATCTGGGATTCAGTCTGTTGGGGAGCCAAGAACAGGCTCCTGACACGTGGAACTTAAAAGATTCAATTGAGAACTTGTCGGGACCAGGGCCGGACACAGGCATGGGCAAACTGGGTGGCTGCCTAGGCATGGATGGAAAGGGGGGCCAGAAAATGGTGAAAATAATGATGATTATTATCATTACCTCTGGTGAAGGGGGGCCTGATACTAAAAGTTTGCCAGGGGCTGCCTGGGACACTGTTTAGTTGCTGGGCTACCTCAGGTGACCCTGGAACAAGTTTCTAATACTTGCCTTTGATGCAGTCTGACACGAGCTCTGGCCAGACCTGCGCAGATGCAGCAGTCGGATCAAAGCAGTAAATCTTCTGAATCAAATCACCATCGAGTTTCTGCAAGACAGAGCGCACAGAGTCACATTGGTGGCTGGGGGTGGAAATAGTGAAGGGTTAAAGAGGCCACTGACAAACCTGGGAGGATCTTAGGGAGCACTTCTGGAAGCAGACAGGCAAACAGGAGTGGAGCTATTGTGGAAGGAGGCTGGGAGGACAGGGAAGGGAAACCAGAGAGCAGAAGGCCAAGCAAGCAAGCTTTGTATCAGAGGGGCAAAGGGCTGGAGAAGGGCTCGTTCTCAGATCAGTTTGGTAGACTGTAGGGTTGTTGATGTTATGGGGCTCCTGCTGCTAGAGGCGTGCAGTGAAGACACATTGTGTGCCGGCAGAAGGACCCTTTGTGCTGGTACACTTAGCTAACGTAATTTGGGGACATGGGGTAAGTCAACAGAAGCCTTCTTCTGTCAGTAGAGCTGTGTTCCCATCAGGGGTTTTGTAGGCATAACTGTGTTGGCCAGGGGATAGGGTGTTTTCCCACCCCTAGCCGATGGCTATGCCGGCTAAACTTTGTACACCTTACTTATTTGATATCTCACCAGCGCACACTGACTCCAGTTCTCAGTCTTCTCTGAGCCCTTCCACTGGGGGTAGAAAAGCAGCAGCACAGCCTTCAAGATGTTATGCACCACAGCCGGAGGCTCTACGTAGCTCTTTATTTCAGCAAAGAACTTGGGACTGAGCTTCCAGACACACTCACGCAGGTCCTGCAGCATGAGTCGATGGAAAAGTACCCCTGCACTCCTCACATCTGCCACGTGTTCTGCCTCTGGAATCACAAGCCAACTTTTCAAGGAGCTGCTCAGAAAGATAAGCCACCAAAGACAAGCTTTTGATTGCGGTGGGGAGGGGGTCTGCCCACTTCACGATGAACAAGGGTGCATTTTCCAGAGCAAATACAAAATGTTTGCAAATGGTCTACTAACAAAGAGCACGGGTAGACGTTTGAGAAAGGACCAGGACTCTCTGTGATGCAGTTGAGGCTTCAGGAGCATGGGATATTCAAAGATTATTGTATTAATGCTGTAATGTTGCATGTATCTGTCTGTCCCTTACACCGGGGGGAAAGGGGGGGGATTTCCTGTGGGAGCTGAAGTCACTAAGAGAGTAATTAAAGTGCATCACTAATGCAGACAGCAAGACTATGGAAGTCTCAGTCCCCGAGGGAAAGGCACGCGCTCACTGGTTCTGGTTGAAGAGCCTGACAAAACAAAAGGCAAACTGCATAAAGGCTCAGGCCTGATCTGGGAGACAGACGTGTCCACTCTGGATGTAAGTACTGACACCTTTGAGCTGTCTACCTGCCAGGGTGCTGTGCAGTGCCGTGCCGACGGTTACCTGCCACGCGTGCCTGCCAGCTGCGTGACATGTTCTCTCTAATGCCTTGTTCTAAATAAAGAGCACTTTGCTTTGGGAAAGCTGCCTGGGCACTTGCCAACTCTCGTTGTCCCTGAGGGAAAGCAGAGCTGCAGCTCTGAATCAAATCATACCTGCAGACATAGGCTGGGCTGAGGGGAACTGCAGCCGAAAAGCCCAGTCTGGAGGGAGAGGAACACAGGTCTCCGTCTCGAGAAGGGCGAGAGCCACAAAGTGGGGTGTCCCTGAGGAGGTCTGGAAGGGGTCAGAGGTGCAGGTACCCTGGGAATGGCAAAACCCAGGAGTCTGGATTCTGCCTGGAGTAACCCTGAGGAGCACAGAGTCCCTAAGCAAATCTTTCCCTCTCCTTCGTTTCCTAGAGGCTGCTGAGATATAAGCTTTCCTGAAGCATCCCTCTGTGCACCTGTCTGAGGGAAGCCTAGGTTAGGATTTTACCGAGACCCCTCACCTGTGCCAACCCCGCCACCCCCGATCCTCTCTGAACAATACAGTACCTAAGACGCAGCTTGGCCCTCCTTCCCCTGCCGACTCCCTCAGCAGTTCCCAACAGGCAGCTTGGGCCATCTTTAGCATGGCCTGCAGGTCTTTGTGCTCAGGAGGTGGTAACCCCTGGCGGGGTCCGGTGATGAGATCAAACACCCCAAGGGTCTCTCCCGATGGCTCCCGGAGTGGAACGGCAATGTGATGTTCTCCATAGACATAGGCGCTAATGACCCCAGAGCTGTCTGCGCACTTGAACAGGTAACCCCTGAAAAGACAGTAAAACAGGGGTGATCTCAGCAACTCTAGAACACCAGGCTTTTAGGCAACTCCTAGGTGCACCACGCTCTTATAGAGAAGGAGCTTTCACACTGCTACATCAGCTGCTCTGCTCCCTGCGGCCTACACGCAGACCCTGTCGGAGCCACACAACGTGGCAAGGAAAAGCCTTCTGGAAAGCAACCCTGCTCATCCTGGTCTGGTGTCAGGAGCTGCAGGGAGGCTTCACAGGTATAGGTTAGGGTCGTACTTGTCCCATACAGACAGTTTTCCATATGCAATGATGCTGATGTTTGCACCGCAGAGCTCTATACAACGCAAAACCATATACCACAACAGCAGGCCACTGCTTGACTTAAGTTCAGTAATTCAAGAAGACGTATTTAATAGATAAGTTGTGAGGACCTTGGCAGCTGAAGGAAACAGCTCTACAGTAGGATGTTTCAGGGGAAATGAGGATAATGCTGCCAGGAAAAAAAGATATGCTAATTTAAAGTACAGGACACTCTGGATACAGGGCCTGACACTGCAAACTTTTGCTACCAGACCCAGGGCAGCCAACAGAATTGCTCACGTTAGTAAGCATTATGCATGACGTTAAACATTTCCAGGACAGAGTCCAAGATCTGCCCTCCAGACTGAGAGTTTACTACCATACATGTGACAGACGCTGCGTTAGTGAGCATGCTCTGTTTCTGTGTGCTCGCACACCCACAGGCTATCTATATACTGCATGCATCTTCTGCCAGGCAAACGCAACGACGGGATGTGACCACTTTTAGCCTGAACCCCTGTCCAGCAGCCAGACTCCTGCATGCACCAAAGTCGAGATCAAAATGGGAGCCCTCTTGCTGTAGGAGCAGCAACCCAGCTTCTCTCTGCTTGCCTGGCTCACTGCACAGGCTTGGAAGATGACCCATAAACACCATGCTGGGGCTAAGCCCACCTGAAGATGTTTTCTTTCCTGCTGAAGAGAGCGGGAGGGGAGTGGATGTCTATCTGCCCTGAGTGATCTGTGGTCATCATCTTGCGCAAAGCATAGTCGCACATCTGGAACAGAGAAAAGGGAGAATATGATACAGGCAGGAGAGGAGCCTCCACTCCTACGCTTATAGGGAGAACAGCTAATTCCTCAAGACGAAGCTTACACTTAATGCTCAGCTGCAGTGGGATGATTGAAGGAAGGCTGCAGGTCAGGTTTTGCCCTCATAACCCCAGAATCTTGCCCCCAAAGTGCAGCAAGAATGGAATAATGTCCTCTTTCATCTGGCCTGTGTAACCTGAGCCCTGGCCCAGGATGCCTACAAGTGGATGAGGGGCTTCCCCAAAGGACAGTTGTTTTTTGGATCCTTAGAGCCCCACTCTCCTGGCAGGGGAAAAGCACGCAGCCATCTTTAGGGAGCAAACAACATGACTCACGGGCAGCTGACAACAGGAAAACGTAAAGCCTGGAGGGAGGAATGTTTCCAGTGGGAACCCAGTTATCAGGGGAAGCAGCTGAACGGTGGTGGCGGCAGTTGCCATCACATGACCTTTGCGGTGAGCTTTGGACTCAGCCTTAAATATTTCACTGTCTTCCTTCTCATCCGCCTAACTGAGGGTGGTGTAAGTTTATGCACAGCCCGGCCTCTGACTGCCTGCTGCATACTTGGCGTGTGAACCACAGGCAAGTGGGCTGCCCTTACACGCGGGCTAATTCAGAGCGGCCTCTGCTCTATTTACATGTTGCCTGCCGATACCATTTCTGGAGGAAGAGCCAGCACGAGCCAACCTCCTTTTCCATATGGTGATCTTGGCTGTGCTTCCTCTCTGCAGGGGGAGGACTGATTTAGCAGAGTACTGCTACACAGGCTCATCTTGTGGCTACGTGGTCTGGTGACACTTCCATTTGGGTCAGGGGTCTTGCTGCCCTGGCTGGAGGAGCCAGGGGCACTAATGGGGCAGCGCTCTTAGCCCAGGGGGTAAGGAAGCACCCTTCTGGCTGGTGTAGGGAAGCAAGGGAAGGGTTGTATCAGGAGCTGAAGGGAATCCCAACCGCTCTCCCAGGGTGGAAGGAAGATTGCTGAGAGAGAGGGCTGGCAGAAAAGAACGGTGGCTTCCCCTTGCAAGGTGACCTTCCCTTTTCCTCTACAAAGTCCTGCTGTGAATAGTATCAGGCAGAACCTCTCGGTGGTGAAGTCAAAGGGGAGCCAAATGGGGGTAGGTCCCTGCCAGTCTGCATTAGTCAAATCCCTCTTTATCGCAGTAGTGGCCTTGGCTTGGCTGGTCTGAAGGGACTGGGCTTACCTCGTCTCTGCCGGGCTCCATGAGGTATGTCGTGACCGTGCGGATGGTGGGGGCCCTGGGGTGCAGCCAGCCCAGAGCAGCGAATGCAACCTGCATTATGTTTTCCAGGGTGCAGACGTGGTGGTAGGCTTTGCTGAACGCATGGGAAATGCCCTGTGGGAGCAGAACCCTTGGCATGAGAAGGAATGATTACAATATGATCAAGCTGGGGACAGTGCCACGGTGGCAAGAGGAAGCACAAACTCGGTAGCATGAACAAAACAGCCTGCAGCAGGGACAAGCTCGGAGTACAGGGCAGCCCCCGAGCCCCACCGTCACACGGGACTGCAGGCTTCCTGGCCAAGCTCCTGATGAAATGGGAGGCGAGCTCCAAAAGCAAGCAAGTGTTAGCTTGCTCTGCTCCCTGCTGGCCGAATCACCAACTACAGGGACTGGTTCCAGAAGGAGTTGCATCCCGGCCAGGTAAAATGACCCCCGGCAGCCAATAACTTTGGAGCAGGTACAACTCTGTACTTGCCTCAGCAGGCAGGCCTAATGGGGAGGAAGCCACCTAGATAACTGCTGATAAGGGGATAGCTGTTGGCATTGTTCATGCCATTTTCACATCCCATAGAGTGCTGCAGGTCTACAGGTATCCACGCTGTTGGTCTAATCAAAATCTTGTTGGTCTAATAAAAGATATCATCTCTACTACGAGTCCTGATTGCAAGGCTACAGTGCATTCCCCAAGCCCACCGCCGGTGTTGGTTCACAGTGAAGCATGGGAAGGCAACATGGCCTTCCCTGGTTGGCGGGAGAGACTCGCACACCTGTTTTCGGATGGTGCCCACCCACCTGGTAGAAGCTGATCTCGTGGGTTAGGAAGATGGTTTGCTCGCACTGGTCCTGGAGCGTGTCAAGTCCTAGAATCCCAAAGACTCTCCATCGGGAGTCCTGCAATGGCAGCACCAGGAAGGAGCCTTTCCTTTCCTCTTCTGGGCGGTTGCAGTTCCAGAAGTGGATATTTCCATGGAGCTGAACTCTTGGAACGTGGATCGGCTTCCTCTCCTCCACTGCCACAAAGCTGAGAGACAGGGATGCCACGAGACAGGTGAGAGGAAGTTTGTACAACCAGCATAAGCAGGACGGGAAAGGCCTTCGGGTCTTGAAAAGCTCTGTGAGGATTTGTAGACACATGTTAGGGTAAAATAATGAGCATTCAGTGAATGAGACCGAACCCCGGGAAGCAGCAGTGCCCTGAAGAGACCTTTAGGGAACATGGGGGGCAAAGGGGACATGAGGTCCTTAGCAGCAAAAATCAACAAACAGCAGAGCAGTTGGGGGCTCTCCATGCTAAAATATCACAGCTTAAAACAAAGTGCAATAAGATCTGTGATCAGGATGGCCTCTGAGGGACAGTCTTTCCTAGAGGGTTCCTCTACCTTGTCCTTATCACTACGCTGCGCTGCATCTCTACATTCAATTATTTGGAGGCCTTCTGGGGAAAGGAAGGAGCTTTGTGCAGGTTTCCTTACCTGACTCCTTTCATGTCCATGTGAAGTGTCTGGTTGAGAACGTACGGGGCATCTTCTGCAGTACAAGCCACATAGCGCAGGAGAATGTTTCCCCGCTCGGGTGAGAGCCGGTTCTTTTCCAGAAGGGCGATATACGCACTGATCTTCTTGTTATTCCCATGGGCTTCTGTGTCCTAGCAACCCAACGCTTCACATTATGCTCCGGACATTAGCCACTGGCCATTACACTTAGCTCTCATGCTTATAGCTTCTCCCATTTATCCTGGGACATTGTTCTGGGCCAGTGACTTTATTTCACTTTCACCAGATGAGTAATGATGTCCACCCTGTCGCTCCGGTCTCACAGGTTCCGGCCCAGCAGTGGCAGCAGGGTGGGGAAAATGGATCTGGTTCTTCCTTCTGCTATTCAGAAACCAGTTTATTTGAAAAAGAATACCAGTATCAGACCTACGAACTGCCTGCTCCTCCAGGGAGACGCTGTCCTGGTTCAACAGAGTGAGCTAGTCCAGAGTCTTCCTGTGAAGACACCCTCTCTCTGGTCTGCAGATGCTCAAAGCTAGGCACTACCAGCAAGAGCACTTCAGCTGCCCCAGCACTGCACGGGGAAGGGGTGCACAGTCCCCTCAAAGAGGGCACTGAATGCCACTATCCCTTAAGCTGCCCCTGGGAGAACATATGAAGCCCTTTACATTGTAGACTGCCACACTGGCCAACAACTGTCAGGCTAGGGTTGTGCATGTCCACATTTTATTTCATCGCAGTTTCCAAAGCAAGAGATGACCGTCTCCCTGTGAAAGGGAGGAACGGATGGTCCCAAGGCAGTACAGCACTGACAAGAGCTGCCTCATCCCTGACCTGCAGCAGCTCACGGTACCGCGCTCCCGAGCTCCCTGAACAGCCACTGATAAACTTGTCTCACTACGTACCTGGGACAGGGCTCTGAAGACTGCTTTGTAAACCGGTTCCATGCTTGTCCCGCTGGTCTCGGCCGCGTGCTGGATATTGAGCAGCCACTTCCTCCTGGCTGAGCCTCGCAGCTGTTCCACGTGGGTTCGCTCCACGCTCATGGTCAGAAACTCCACCATGTTCTCCAGGACTTCGTCCTCATTCCCGGTCAGCTCGGAAACGACCAGCTCCAGGTAAGTCTGGAATTCCTTTGGCGACAACCTTGCCACTCCACTGGGGTGCCGGTGGGATGAATGGAAGTGCTTCTTTGCTAAAGGAGGGACAGAGACAAAGGCAGGGTCACTGCTTCTGAGCACTGTGCTTTGCTCTGCAATGCAACGCTGGCACTAAGCCTGAAGCTGGCTCCAGGTGGGATTCTCCAGCCCCTCAGGCCGAGTCACTCATGCCCTTCATTTTTTTCTCCCACAAATCAAAAGTGACATCATGACAGGCAGGGGCCAGCAACCAGCTCCCCTTCCTCAGATCTCTGGGGTCTAGACACAGAAAAGTATCTGCACAGCCCCCCTAGCCTCCTCCCACTCACACCTTTACCCAAACACCAGGAGTCAAAGGAAAATCAGGAGGTTGCACAGGACTGTCTAGAACCATACTTATCTCAACACTACAACCCAGCTCCATGGACACATGGATGACGACACTTCAGAGTCTCAAGACTCCCCCAGGAGATGCAGACTGGGAGTGGGAAGAAAACCATTTTTCCCACAACCCTTCAGGCAGAGCTGGGTGTCTCTGGAGAGTCCACTTGCCCCCTTTCTTCTGGAGTGCAGAGCTGATAAATCAGGAGTGATTTATCAGTCTGAAAAATCACTAAGGACTCGCTCAGGAGCTGCTGAAAGTCCCCTCCCATGGGAATAAAGGGGCAGCATGTTCCTCGTTCCATGTGGACCACAGGCTGCACATGTCTGTGTCGGGTTGCGGTCTCGCACCTTGCACAGGTGAGCAGAGATTGGCAGGCAGGTTGGGGAGTGGGTGAAACCTGGGCTAGCCCCCTTTCCCATCGCAGGGCAGTGGGATGCAGACAGGGGAAGGGGAGTAAGTTGCCCTCGGAAACAGGCTGCTATGGAGAAAGGGGGAAGCAGAGACCTAGCTGGCTTTCAGGAGTCAGAGAGAGAAATCATTCAAAAAACAATTGCACAGCAGAAAGGAGACACCTGTGAAGCAGCAATGAGTTAAAGCCTTCCCCTGATTTCCATGATTGCACAGACCTTTGTGTGGAAACCTACAGAGGGTGCAGACCTTTAAAGACTATTATCTCTAAACCCTGTCACTAGGAATCAAGACAGAATGAGTCTACAAATGGAAACCGACTGGGCTGATTTCTATTCAGCAACTGCCCAAGTGTGTGGCCTGCCTATGCCCGGTGGCTGCTGTGTTCCTAGCTTTCCTGTTCAGCTCTTACAGGGCAGGACCTGGTGCCCCTCTCACTGCAATGCCTTTGCACGCAAGAGGGAGCTCCTGTACAATCTTTATGCTGCAGGCGACACTTTCTTTCACGAGTGTTTGCTGCCTTGGCTACAGCAGCAATTGCACCTTTTGCCGTGGACACCTCCCCTGGAAACTGCAGGAGACATTCTGAGAAGCCATCCTGAATCCTGAGCTCAAGTTCTCCCCAACCCAAACAAACAGAAGAAACGGGAAGATGCTTCAGTGCATCTGTGATGTGGTGATCGGTGACGAGGATGGGCAAGGGCAAAATTTGTCAGCAGGCAGGCAGGATTTCGTGATCGATACATATAATGGCTTGTAAGGAACAGCATAATAGAAAATGCTCTGATCAATGTACATGAGAAGAGGAAGAAGGCTGTTCTGATTGCCTCTCAAAGCAGCCAAGCCCTGCTGTTAGGGAAGCTGGGAGTCTGATTCTGCTGCATCTGAAGGCAATGGGAATTTCTGCACTGATTTCAGTGGAAGCAGCAGCAAGCACTAAGCAGCTCCAGGCCTTTTACAACAGAGGGTTTTGACTTGGCTTCCCTCAAAGGATTTTCAAAAATGTTCAGTTCTCTCTCTCTCTGGGAGGGGGAGGAGGAAGGGGAGGGAAGGGGCTGACAAAGCACACAAGGTTTGTGTTTGGGGCTTCCCACCTGCTCCTTTCTGCCCTCCTGTTTCTGGTGACACTGGGATTACCTGGACATGTGGACAGGGTCAATGTGAGCTACTGCTCCCTACCAAGAGAGAGCTGACAGTCCCCTTCAGACATCTCAGACTCAGTGCTTTGCTCTACACAGATTGCTCCATGCTCTGCCCCAGGCTGGGAGGCTCCTCTCCAAGACACGCGTCTACCACGCTGTCTGACAGATGAGTCTGAAACTGCTAGGGACAGTTCTAAGTTGTTTATATGTTGCACCCATTTCTCCCACCCTTTGCTCGTTATTGGTCATTGTGCGGGAAGCTCTTCAGAGCAGGGACTGCCTTCTTATTTCTCTGCACAGCTGCCTAGCATAGGTCAGTGCTGCTGACTTATAAACAATAATTGCAAGATGCTGGTGGTGCCAGCAGCTAGGAGCTGGGTGAGAATGCAGCCCCCAGCTTTTGCAGGGATGAAGTGCGTACTTCATCCCTGGAAAGGGAAGGGCCACTTTCCAGGTTAATTCCACTGCCACGTACTGACTGCTGCATCACTCCGGGCCATGGAGACCATGCACAAAGGCATGACAGGGCCTCCTACAGCTGGCCTGACGTGGCGCAGGATGAGAGGATTTGGAAGAGCTGCCAGAACTTGCTCTTATCAGCAGTGAACAACAAGGATGAATACAGTGTCTCAGGAGGAGGTCTGGGGCAGAGCGGCTGGTCTTAGGGGTGCCTCAGTGAGTGCATCAGCAGCCCTTGTCCCTCCAGTGGTTACTAATACGGTGCCTGCCAGCATCTGTAGGTTGGATGTCTGCAGATGCTTGGCTGCCAGGGGAACTCAGGTGACCTGCTGCACGCGCATCTCACCAGAGGCATAGCCAGGCAGCTCCGCGATGCCCAGGGCAGTGCCAATTGTAACGGTACAATTAGCTGCTGCTGTGATTGTGGCCACTTTTGTGCCCTCCCCACCAAAGTGGCTCCCTGGGTTGCTTCCCCATCGTTCCCCTCCATTATGCTATTGTCTCACCCAGACTGTTTCCCCCAGGCCTACCATTGCTCAGCTGACTCGGGGAGATGAGATGACTTTGGGGCATCTCAGAGCCCCAAACCAACCCCGACTCGAACCTCTATGCCCATCATAACAGCTGTTCTCTTTGCAGGGACTGTGAATTGGTTTTTACAAACCAAATCCTTTGGTGACTTGGTGGCTGTGTCAGCATTTCACTACATGGTGAAAGCAGCAGGGTGCCTCTGCTTGAAAGCCAATGCTCAGAACTCGCCCAGCCTTTCCTGGAGGCTGGGAAGGGGGTAGTGCAACACCCAAAGGGCACGAGAACCTGGAGACAAGGACACTTGCTGCCTATTTTCTCTTTCTTCCAGAGTCCCTTCTGCTTCTGACTGCATCTGCAAACACAGGTAAGACATGGCCCTTGCCCATCGTGTCATTCGCACCATCATCGAATGGTCCAACACCCTAGACAAGTGTTCATCTCAGACCTGGTAATGGGTACTACTCTTTTCTTACCCTTCTTCAGAGCCTCTTTTTCCATTCCCTCCTTAAACATGCAAAGCACAGAATCCACCTCTTTCAGGTCTAGGAACCCAGAGCCCTCACTGTCCCACTTCTCGAAAAGAGCCTCCACGAGCAGTTTCCGTCGGGCCAAGAGAGACTCACGGTGAACCTAGGACAGGGAAGAAGAGACAGAGGTGGGAAAGCTGGTCTTTGATAACGTAGGGGCACCCATGCTCAGAGTCCAGGCCAGGAGGAGAATTGCAATGGTTGGCTCATTGCTCAGTCATAAAAAGCCCGTTGGCTAGGCAACCACTGAAAATATGCCATTAAAAATCTGAAGGAGATGACAGTCATAAAACCAGGGTGATATTGGGAAACATTAAACAGAAGCAGCAGCTCTGCATTACCACGCAGAACCAACATCGGCTTCTCAAAGGGGTCTGCTCCTGGCATGCAAACAAAGCCTGTGCCAGAAGCCCTGGCGGGATCAATGCAGGCAGGTGGCAGTTTCACAGCACAGAAAAGCCTTTCCAGCCAAGGCTGATCTGGGCTTTGTAAACGACTCTGCAGGATTTGGCAGGGCTCGCTATTTCTGGGTCTCTGTGCAAACTGTTGATTCTGGCCCTGCTCTTAACTGTGCCGGGGCCTACGGTGTTGCATGGTCCTCAGAACCAACCTGTGCACAGCACCAGATGCTAAATGGTTTGAAATTAAATCCACAACGATGGCCAAGCGTGGCGTGTTCAGCATGAGGATGGCAGAGCTGTCAGATCCAATATCTCAAACAAATTAGGTCAGCAGCACAGAGCAAGAGAAGCAAGAGATCTGAGGAAACTGCAGCTGGGGAGGTAGCCACAGGCCGGCATACTGACGAGCACAGCAGAGATACCGGGCACACTGGGTTTGTATGCACATAGGGGTACATGCATGTATGCATGCACACGGAGTATCAGTACACGTCCCAGACAAACACGTACACGCATGCAAAGTAGCTTCTGACAGCAGGTCTTGGGCAGGACTTGCCCTCTGCAGATGAATAAACAGAACTGAACCACTGAAGCCATTTCCCAGCTGGCTGTACACCTGGTGTTTCCCTGAGCCAGGCTCTCTTACAGGCAGACAACCTGTGGCAGAATTCACCTTTTGTCACTCGCAGGGCTAGGGTGGGGAAACCTCACGTGCAAACAAAGGGAGAAAAAGACTCCAGAGCAAGGACTGGAAAGTGAGGACATGAGTGAAATTCAGCCAGGATAGGATTAGCAGGCTGACTTCCTAAGCCTCTAGCTAGATGTTTTGTGTATACATAATACCAGCAACACCTGCCAGCATTTACTTTTTCCAATTGTTCAAGTTTTTCCTCTTCAGTCTGTATGTAGCCTCTTTTTATGAATGCAACAAGTCTCTTCACAGTAGGCAGAGGGGTGTCTTCACCAACAAAGGTCTCCATGAGCTGTACGAACTGTGGCAGGTTGAGACAGCTCTGGTCAAAGGCACTCCTGGCTCGGGAGGCACCACGGGTCTGAATCTCTGCCATGATCGTACGCAAGTCTAGAAGGAAGAAAGCATACCATACTACTGGTTATGTGCAAGGAACCATGCTTGGATACCTCTGGTTATGTGCAAGGAAGCCAATGCTAACCTGATGTGGTCACATCAAGTCATGGGCTTAATCCCAGTCTTTATTCAGTGGGAGTTTTCCTGAACCTGGACTGAAGAAACATCAAGCAAGTGTTTTCCTCATTATCTCTGCATAATGAGGAAAAACCCCATTAATATTTCGTTACAATCTAGCACATCAGACCAAATGCCATTAAGCCATGTTACTCAGTGCAGGCAGCTGAAGTTACTGGTATGCAAACAGTGGGTCTGCCTGATGCAAGCTCGGTATGCAAACCCTTGCGAGTCTGGGAGACCCAACACATCACGCTTGCCGTATCCGACAAAAGCCCCGTGATACAATGGACAATATCCCCCGCGGGAGGTGATGTTTTCACAATTCTGGGAGGGTTCAGAGACTTGTAGTAGAGACTCTGAGTCGCCCAGCGGCTACATTGAACATACTGGGCCGATACCTGGAAATCTGGAGTTTTCGTTGTTCCAGTCCTCTGGAATTTGGTCACCATAACTGCTATACCCGAAACTCAGGTTAGACGTCAGAAGGTCACCTGGGAAGACAAAGCAGACTATGTAAAATGAAGTAGCATCCTTACAAGTGTTAAATTCATAGCATAGTACAGTCAGAACAGCAGTCACCTGACCAGGGAATCTGGTCTATCCCCTGGCTTGCTTCATCAAATGCTTCTTGTCTTGGGGAATGCGATGGATCTGAAATTCAAACAAAGGCACCATCTATGAACTGGAACTTGGGGAAGCCCAAACGCCATGCTGTCAACAGGCAGAACCCACCCATGTAAAACACACGGCACCTCCGTGTCTCTGGAGTTACCCTCATCACACGTAGGCATTTATTCTACTCTGTGCAAGTATTACCTTGTAAAACTGGCTCTGCGCCCCTCACACTTGCAAAACCCGACTCCACGCAACCATTCCAACATCCCTCTGCCCCCCACCCCGAGTGAGCTCCACAGCTCCCACGCTTAACCCGTTGTACAGAGTTGTTCCGACTTATTGCACTGTATGAATGCCAGGTCTGACCTGCGCACTGAACACTGCCCGCTGCTTGGATACTGCTGATTATGTGTAAGGTGCAGTTAGTCCAAAGGTCCTGTGCTCTCCGTTCTTGGGCCCTTTACAAAATGCCTGCTACAGGCATGAAGCTTGTCACTAGGACAGCACAGACTGAGCCCTTGCAATGCCTTAGCTCTGGGGCATAAGATGAACTATTGCTGGACTACCTGTGGGAGGTCTGTTCCTGCATCAGCATTCAGTAATGTGTATAGAGTACCTCATGCAAGCCCTGGAGTTGACTGACTGCAGCCTTCCTAAAGTGAGAGCTTTCATATGCAATTGAAAAGTAAAATATTCCCTCTGGAAATGTAACAAGAGACTAAAACAAGCTGTTTCTATCTGATGCCATAATCTATCTATCTCCTTTGGGGTCTTCATCTCATTTTCCTAATAATTATTAAAACACATTTCTATGTTTAACATTATCAGATTCCCCCTGCCGTGATGCTGCAGAGGTAAAGGGAACATTATGTTTCCCTTTATTAGATAACAATGCTTGAAAAAGCGCCCATCTGCTTTCAAATGGCTTGAACACATACCACCAACAGAAGGATTTACCTGATATCTTGTGAGTGGAACATACTGTGAAACCGTGATGGGAAGCTTTGTGCTGAGAAAAATAGAAAACCCAGAGGCCTGTCTACTTCCAAGCCACCCCCAATTTAACTACATGCATTTGCAAAACCCAGCAGTGGCTTAACTCATCAACACTTGTACCTAGTTTAAAGCATCTTATTTTAAAATTGAATCCTGCTTTTCTAGAGCAAAATAAAAACCACACAATCTGAATCTCACATGCTTGCAATGGCTCTGAATTGGTTTTGAAAAAAAATGTAGTTCCAATTAAACCAGTGCATGTCTCTGGGTAGAAAGAGAATACGATACAGCAACACATAGGACAATAGGTTTTACCTTGACGCTGGTCTTGCTCACACAGCAGGGCAGCGTCTTCAGCCTGCAGCACGGTGTCTCTACTTTGCCGTGATCCTGAGGGAGTGACCTGTGCCTCTGCATCACCCTCTTTGCCTGCAGGGCTTTCTTTCCCCAGTGCTACAGCTTCCTCTTCAACATCTGGTTCGGACGCAGCCAGAGATGCCCCTGCTTCCCCACCCTCTTCTGCGACTCTGTTCTCCACTTCAGGCGTTGGTACTGGAACAGGAACTGTCCCGCTTGGTTCTAGAGATGAAGCATATTCTTTCTGACCGAGCTGTCCTTCTGAACCAGGTTCTCCGTCCCAGATTATATGCTGATCTTCAGAGTCCGGGCCAGGAACAGGCTTGCTTGGTTCTTCAGCCATAGAGAGTTTTTCCTGGCTGACTGCAGAAGCTGGCTCTGAGAAAGGTTTTTTTGAGCTCCCTGGGCTTTCAGCATCCGGCTGTTGGTCCATCCTGGCTGCCTCACTCGAAGCAGTCTCATGGCTAAAGGTGACATCCCCATCTGAACTGCTGGGTTCAGGGACGGTGGTTCCTCCCTTTGCATCCTCTTGGCTCACCTCACTCAATTCCTCTCTCAGGAGTGTGTTTGGCGTTTGTGGGCTGGGTGACAGGATGGTTTCTTCGGTCTCTGTAGTAGCACAAGATCTCTTCTGGCTCACTTGCCCCTCGGCAGCAGGGCTCTCCTCCGAGACTGTATTCACTGCTTCATGGGCTGGTGTTGGAATAGTCTCAGACAACTTCGCAGTCCAGCCAGGTTCCTCTGTATGGATACTGCTTGTCGCAGACTCACTTGTGGCCACCTTTTCCGGGTTCCCCGTTTCATCTTGGGTTGCCCCAGGCCATTCCGACTCCTCCATAGGCTTATCTGTAGCTGGTCCACTGCTGGGTAGAGGTTCAGGTGGTAGGGTCTCTCCCTTAGAAACTTCTGTCTGAGGCCAAGCAAATGTTTCCCTGGACTCTGCGGAAGCAATCTGTCCACCACTGAAGTCTCCCCAGAACTCAGCAAGCTCCATCTCTTGCAATTCAATTATTGGCCCTAACAGAAAAGACATTTAGTTGATTGTTTGTATGGTTTTTATGTTCTCTAACTAGAGGGGAAGCAGTGCAAAAAGATTACAGAGGTGGAGAAAAGTATTCCTTAGTGGACACGTGCTACCTACTCTATATTCCCTGGTGAGCATACACCACCTGCAAGTACTAGCAGCAGTCAGGCGCCCAATGTTCAGCACTGGAGATGGAGCATTTGTAACGGGGGCAGTTTCTTTGCCTCTAGAACTCGTTTGCTCTCAAGATGTGCATTAAGCCACGTTTCTGAAGCAAACACCACTCTCACATTGTCGTTTTCCATATTAAAAAGGAAAGCAGTGTGGTAATTTCCACTGTTTCTGATCTCAGCAGGACACGCTCAAGTGATTTAACATCTAAAAAAATCATTGTATTTTTAAAATTGAATGTTCTCTGTGTTCTTTATAACTCTTCCATGCTCATGGAGAGATTTTAAGTTTAAAAGGACAGAGCTAACATTTATATCAGGCGCCCCAGTCAAAAAGAAAAGCTCTTTTAGGGAAAATGATCTTTCTTGCAATGCTGCCTACAGAAGTACTAGAGTATGCTCCAGCAATACTTCAGTTTGCCACTGGGAGATTTTGTACGTTGACAAAAATCCACTGCTTCCATTACACAGCTTGCAAAAATATGCACCCTTCTTGGGTTTTGCCTGCGACTGACATGACTTCAGCAAGTGTCTTGTCTTTAAACCCATCCCACACATCCCACGTGCTTACACTGTCTTGGATTTCGGAATCCTCTCTTAGCAAGCACCGGGCTGCTCTCATAGAAGTCTTCCAGTAAGGCCAGTATCCTCCGTCTGTCCAAGAGGCCAACCTAGACAGAAGTTACAGCTGTTGGTTCAAAGTAGTTTCTGCATTTCTAATTTTTTTTAACGTCAAAATCTGATGCACTGGAGGAGCCTCTTGTACAGTTTGCAAAGCCTCTGAGCATAGTTCAGGCCTTTGAAGGTACCAGGAATGGATTTATGTACCTTGAGGCCCCATGAGACCTTCCACTTGAAAATTTGTGTCCCACTAAAGCCAGGTTGAGCTCATAGGGGCCAGAACCTCACCTTCAGTGGACATAAGGGGTACACACTACCTTGTATGCATGTCATTGCATATTCCCCATAGATTAGGACTAAATAATGTTAAAACCAACAGTAACACAGGAGTTCTGCAGGAAGAGATGAAAGTCATTCAATCTCATGCTTTAAGTACCCATGCTGCTTGCCTGGAGGGTGTCGTGGAGGAATATTCCCCCCCAGCCAAATGCAGTTACACCACAGTGGTGGCTGTGTGCAAAGGTAGCTTGGTTTTGTGTCCTTTGAAACATCGCGTCTCAGCAACTACCAGTGAAACGAACTAGATCAGTCCGACGGGTTATGGCAAGAAGCCCCCCAACTTCCTCTCTCACGCATGCACTGTTACTAATGTCACAATAAAACAGAGTTGGGGTACAGCTTCTGAACGAGATCTTCCTGGACTCTAAAGACTGGAGGTTGCAAGTGAGAGAGGAACAGGGGAAAAAGCCCTGGTCAGACCCAGTTCCTTCTCCCTCTTCGCATCCGCTCTCTGCCGTCGTGCAACACAGACTGGGCAAGAGGGACCTAGGGAATGACCCAGTAAGTGGCAGTTCTGATGTTCTTGTCTATAAGAGACACCCAATGGTGAACTGAGCACAATAAGAAAGTTTCTGCATGGGTTTCTTACAGGGCGTCTTGCATCCCTATCCCTCGAAATGATTCGGTTTGCAGGGCTGTATCTGTGAGCTTGTTAAAGAGCCGCCTGCTACTCTTAAGAAATGCCATTGGAGCAGACTTGGCCTTGCAGAGATGCATCCCGAGAGGTGCCAGCAGGTCTCAGTGCTCGGTTATATGCAAAATAGAATTACTGTCCTTTCTGCTCAGACAAGGCATGGGGACAGCAAAGGCTGGAAAACTTCAGTGCAATTGGGGATTTCTGATCAGGGAATTGTGGCTTTAAAAAAAAAAAAAAAAAAAAAAAAAAAGATTAAAATAAAGCAATCCTTAAGGACTGTAAGCTTTCTATTTTGGGATGAATTAATGTTATCACTGTTTCAGGGCTACCACCTTTGTAATCTCCTTCCCATTAATGTAATACAGTAGTTGATTAGAGCATAAACGTGCTTAAATCCATTATTTGTGGCAACGACTTTTACATCTGAATTATTGATTGCCTTCTGAGGTTTTGCTTGTGAAGTAAAACTGTCAAATACAAAATTCACCAAGCTATTAATTCTGGGTCAAATTTTCCATGCCTTGAGGCAGAAGAAATAAATGTAGAAGTTTGCTGTTGCATTCTGGAAGTGAGCCCGGGAATGCGGGTTGGTAGCCTTGTTCTTTATAATCTAAAAGCAAAAGTGGCTGGACCTGAAAATGAGCGAGATCGGCCCGCGTTCAGCTGGGATCAGGGGCCCCAAGGCACTGAATCAAACATCTCAGGAGGAAATGCTGAAAGGTAAGGAACTGAGGAAGTGATATTTTCCATTACTGCCACACCTTTCATCTTAAGTGATCGGAAAGAGCTTTGCAAACTCAAAGCATGCCGCGGTACCGGAATGCAGCCAGCTCTGGGGCGACGAGTGGCGTGCTCCACAACAGTGGGGAGAGAGAAAATTGGAGCCAGAGCCACCAACCAGAAGAGGGGCTAAAAGAGCTTTAATATTATCCATGAAGAGCAATTGGAGCCTATTGTTAGTCATGTATGTCTCCTGTAGTTCAGGTCCTGCTGGTAAGAAGAGCTGATAATTCCAGCTTTTGTCTCCTAAACTTATACAACACGAAGAGTTTATCTCCATGATTCCAAGTATCAACACCCTCTCAGTATCAAGGTCCAACTACCTTGCACCTTCCCATGCTCTTCAAGCAGTTTACTTCACTGAATAATCCAAGTCAAATCCTGCATCTCCGTAACGTAAATGCAAAAGCAGAACTGTCAGAGCTTGTTTTTAAAGATGTTATTCCACCACTAGCTAAAGCTTGGATACCCCACAGAGTATTTCCATTCCCTGCCCTTATTTTCCTTTTAAGTTCCCCCAGCTGTTGCCTGTCAGAATCACCTGAAAGTTGCCCAGCAAATCATCAGCATTAATGCAGTTTTGTTTTTTTCCAAAAAGTAATTAAGAATGTGGCGTTATTTTCCGGAGCTGCTGCTCTTGATTTCAGATGCTTTTTTGGCGCTGTGAAGTGCCAACAGCGTTGAGAACAGTTTACTCCTATTCAGATCTTATGAAAATGAGTAAAAGCACAAAACATTTTAGAGAGGAAAGAAGTTACTGAATATGCGGTAAGGGGAAGGAGGGAGGGATTTTCCACCTTGTTTTCAGCTTGATGCAAACTTTCGCTCCCCTCTAGGCCTGAGGAGCACTGGTGCATGCTCCGGGGGCCAGCCCGTGGTACTGCCGTGGTGTTTGCGGTGAGGACTGGACGACCCACCCCACTTTGATTCCAGTGGTGACAGCGCCGAGTCACATCCGGCAAAGGCTCCCCAACCCATTAACAAACCAGCTGCCACCTTTGGATCACTGGCAGATCAGCAACTGCTGCTTGATTGTTCCCCCTTGCGCACAAAGGATGTATATACTGCGACCACCAAAATATCCTGGCTGTTGCCCGACACAGGAAGGACAGCATGGGGAAGAATGATAAGGAAATCTTTGTTCTTTCTGTTCCTGCAAAGTAATCAGATACAACTGCTCAAGACGGCAGGACTTCAAAAAAAGAGCTGTTCTGTAATCAGTTACTTTCTAAGGCCCTGGGTGTAAAATGTCTCCACAAATTCATGCAGGTACAGTTACAGCATTGCCAGGAAATGTGCTAAAAGCACCAAGACACAAGGGAGTCCAGCCCATAAGTGTCACATTTAAAAACATCATCTTTTCTTCTATGATTTTAGAGATGAGGCTGCATTTTACTGTGGCCTTGTTTTGGAACAGGGTTTGACTGGTCAATCCAAGGTGTTCTTGCTGAGCCAATACCCTCACCGCAGTGCAGCTCCGAAGTCAAAAGGACTGGGAGGACTCCTTGTAATCCGACTGTAGTTTAAATACTGCTCTCTCAGCTCCACGGCTCTAATTGCAAATCATTGAGACAGACAATACTACTCACCCTGCAAAACTGCAATAATTACCTGCCACCAAACAAATGCAAATCAGGAATCAGAAATAACTAGCTTGCTGTGCTTCACAGAAGGAGAACCACAGGTAATGCATCACACTCAAATGGCAGAAGTTTGTATGGGCTGGCTTGCATCTCAGATCTCCCCTGTGGGTATAGTTCAGCTGGGACGATTACAGGAGGCAAACCAGGTCAGATCTCAGAGATCTGCACTGACCACACTGTAATTTGTAAGCTAGATTTGGTGAGCCAGTCTCCAACACAGATATCTCTAGCAGCCATCTTGGTAGTCTGGTAATGTCCCCCCCGCCACGAGTGATAGCTTACTCCAGTAGCTATTCTTTCCTGCCATTTTATTCCAGCTTTAATGCTTCTTTTTCTCAGAGATACTATTATTATCACCAGTGACAGTGGTGGCAATTATTAAAAGTCACAAAACCAAGGTGAGAAAAGTAGCATTAAAGGTCCGATTTAAATCTTTGAAACCAGATCCACTCCAAAGTAAAGCAGAAGTTCTGGACTGTTGCTTTGACACCCGAGGCTAATCTGAAAAGAAAAATCACACCTGCAGGATGTAAAGTGTGCACTACCATCCCATCCCTTGTCACATGTGCTCGCATACGCGCTATTTCCTTGCATTTGGCCAGCAAATACTAAGAGTGGAAGGAAATATTTTAAAATGCAAACAGATAGCATGGAGGTTTAGATTTTCCTCTCTAAAAGGATACATTATGGCCCATCCTGATGGGAAAATGGGAAAATTAAGTATTTTCTGACTGAGACACATCCCTTTTTTCATCTTTGAAATGAGATAACAGCTGCCTGCTGCTCTCTAAAACGCACTGCTGCTGCCAAAATGCACTTGGTAATGGCATTCTCTTGGAGGCCCCGACATGATTTGCACAATACAATGGAGCTCAGTTCATTCCCTCTGGTAGGTGTGCTGGAAACATCAGTAGAAGGGCAATGAATGGGGAAAAAAGTGCAATACTATGGGAAACTGTTTGTGGTACAAAAGGCTACAGTGACTGCTAACTGAGGCTACTGGATGCATTGGGGGTAAAAGCCAATTTCTAACGTGTCACACCACTGATCTCTCAACTCCCATTATCTATGGGCTTTCAAAGTATACAGTCATTCTTTTAATTGGGATAAATATGATCCAAGGAGGAAGCATCATATAGAGTTTAGATGCAACCGAATGTGGACTGCCTGGGCGCTCTCTCCTCCTAGCTCTGTAGCCAACTTGCTGCGTTAGGAAAATGAGACGCAGGGAGCTATCTGTAAATTGGAGATAGTACTAGTAGTACTCAGCTCAGGGGGTTGCGAGGCTCACTTGCTTTTGCAAGTGCTAGAGTGATGTATGTGAGAGGCAAAGATATTTGGGGGTGGAATCTGTAATTGGATCAACTGTCTAGTTGGGATAAAAGTTAGACAAGCTTTCAAATGAAGGAGAAAGTTTTGTGTGCAGAACTAATCTCAAGTATACAGCTGGTCCAATAAAAAGTTATCATCCCCAAAAATCCTTACCTTTGCATAGCATTTTAAGTTTAATTACTATTTATAAATCATCTTGAGTTTTTCTGGACGAAAAGCACGAGGGAAGTATAATTAATCCAATGTATTCTGCTCATGTAATAGTAAGTCCATATATTTTAGAATATGGTGGCATGAGCTGAGAACTGGCCTGATGCCGGGATTAACTCTTGTATGCTTATGAAAATTACCTTGGAATATATCAAAGGCAGTCGAGACCTCAATTTACTTCTCCTCATATCTTATCTTACCCTGCTCCCTGCCATCATGTAGGGCCATGTGTTCCACCCCTAATTACACATTAGGCTTAGAGGATGTAGATTGCTTTTCTATCTATATAACAAACAGCAGCCTGTTTTACTGTGTAGCAATTGCTGCTATCCAAACAATGGGGAGTAAACTCAAATCAAAAACCTGGAGCTACAGACTAGGAACGAAAAAGAAGCAATTGTGTTAGTAAGAGTTACCAGACAAGAAACACAGTGATGCTGAACATACTTTGAGAGTTTCTTGCCCTACCTTCCCATGAGCACAGTCCAGGAAGAGATCAGTGAACATCTGCCTCCAGGTGTTATGTCTGATCGTATCTCGGAGTTCATCTGCGCACTGGCAGAGGTGCTTCAGGAACTCCTGGAACATGTCACTTGTAAAATTTTGGATGTAAGAATGCACGTACTGTGGAAGAAAAAGAAAAAGGTGTGAATAAATCATTCCCCTTTGAATATCTTCCTTTTTTGAATTTGAAACTGCATTGCACGTAGGGAACTGAGGCTGGAATGCCTGCCTGAATTTAGAAAAAAGGGTTTAGGTACAAGTGCCCGTTATTATTTTGCAAGCATCTCATAGCTCCAAAAAAAAAGGGACTCCATTGTGCTAGGCATCGTGCAAATACTTCCTACATTGCTTGTCTCAGTTCCGACCCAAAGCGTCATTTCACGACTCTCTAAAGGCCAGAGGCGCTGGGCTGGAGTCGCCCTGCTGTAACTAGGCAGACCTGGCCGCAGTTACACCAGCAGCAACGTCGGGGCGGCGTGTTTTCTCGGTTGCATTCAGTATTCTTGGTGTTACTCCTGAGGTGGCATTTTGGGTCCTGCAAAAGCCAGTTGCTCAAAGTGACACCCTTCTCTAACACCACAAAAATACTGGTACTGTTGCCCAAAGGTTTCAGGCTTGATAAGAAACATTCCGCATAACATTTAAGAACTACCTTTTGAAAGCAACACTATTGTCACCCAAGTCCTCTGACACTGGGAATACTACTGAGCTGAGATTCATTCTAAACCCCTCTCACAGAGACACTTTAACACTTTGGATTTATAGCTCTGTGGGTTTTATGAGCAAAAGCAATACTGTTCTAGCAATGTGGCCTGCATGACATCAATAATAATGGCTGGCAGAATAAACCACAGTCCCAAAGCCTGGGTGGAAATCTTCTGGCAGCTTTCTGGGGTCAGCTGCAGGATGGAGAATCCTGCTAAGTTTATTAGGCAATTTCTTAGATGTGGCGCGTTCCCCGTACATCCCTTTTTAGGGCACCAGGAAATAAGCATCGAAGCCTTTGGTCTTTATTACCATTACTATCGCACCCAGTGGGGCAGGGAGGAACCCAATAGATCCACTCATTCAGAAAAGTGTAAGCTTTTGTAGGCAACAACCTACTCTCTCAGATGGTATGAAAGTCCACTCCTGGCCTATAAAAGCATATGCATTTCTGAACCATTTAGTCTCCAAAGTGCCACCTTGCCCCACCTTCAGGCAACCATGGCTAGCTACCTCTCTCCCTCACCCCAGTGACAGAGCAATAGAGAGAAGAGGTAGCCAGCAGAAAGGTATGATAAGGGCTTGTCCACCTGTTAATACTAGTGTGGCTTCCTACTACAAATGGGGATAGGTGAACATGAGCTCTTCTGCAGTTCGTGCAGCTACACTGCCTTTTCCCTTCCAGTAAGGAAAGGGCGCATTTCAGCCCGGAGCTAACAGCCATTGCTCCCACAACGCATCTTCCCCGATGGCACTCCTGGTAGCCAAAAGCAGTCTCACCCCTAGACAAAGGGGTGCTGCTTCTGCATTCTTCCCTTTTCTGGCCAACACAGTTCACTGCTAGTCATAGCTCATTAGAGTGAATTATCTCTCTGCCTTTTGGAAGTGATCCCTTAGGCCACTGCTCTTCTAGTCGTGTCACCTTAGACTTTCATTAATATTTGTAAAGCGCTCTGCCAATGGAAAGTGCTATCCCCATGATGACTGTTATTATACTTATTTACTGAGAGTGTCTCATCCATCATGGAAAAGCAAAGACAACAATCTCTCACTTGCTCCCTCTGTCTCAAGACACTCCACTTACGGTTGGTAACAAATACTTCTAAATTCCACCCATTAATGCGTCTGTGGATCCCACTGATCTCAGCAGAACTTGATGGGGCCGCATGTAGATCCGAGAGCATAACCTTGCCCTAAAGTCCTGCTCAAAAGGCTTTGACTCCCATTCTAGAAGTGGTAGAGGCCCTGCATTTTAAAATGTAGGCCCAGGATATAATGTATTTGCTCAACTGGTGGGGATTAGTCTCCAGACTCTAAGCACTTCAAAATAAAAAAACCAAAACCCTCCCACCCTATTACTGAAGGAATCACAATACAAAGGACCATAGTCAGCCTCTTTGCATGCTCAGAAGATCCCTCCACTGCCTCTGTACCAGTCATTAAGGAACCCAGAGCTGCACTGAATTTGAGGAAGACAGACAAAAAGAGCCATTTAATTTTCAGCTTCATTAAAAATCTATTCTTTCCACATGTAAGGAGGCCTGGATTAGTTTGGGGGCAGATCATGCTGTTCAACCTGCTAAAAGGATGATGCAAACTGGTGAACAAAGGTAACTTTAAGCTGTCCTGAATGAGGTCCATTAACACTGTCAAATAGCCTCCCAAGGGAAGTGGTGAAAGCCTCCTCACTTGAATCATTTAAACCTGGACTGGAAGAGGCACTGGAGAATACCGGGAGGTTGTAGGAATACTCCTGGCTGGCATAGGGACCAGAGGAGTTGATGCTGTAGGTCTGCTCCATTTCCAATTTTTGTTATTGGATCACTCAGTTAAAAGCTAAAAAAGGTAGTAAATCTGTTTGTTTAAAAGCATTCTTTTAGCTTGAACAGAATATGAATTAATTCAGGACTCATTCACGTTCTGTGGAGATTATCGCTAAAATAAAATGCTAATGCACAAAAGTGGTTCTCCAAGCTCCCGTTATCCGCACACATTTCCTTAATTAAATGCAGTCACTCTAAGGTTAAATGTAAAAATACCTCATTTCATGGTAAAGGGGAAAAAAAGGAATCCTCAACCAATTACCAGAGAAATGCATCTCTATGCAAAATACTCAAAGAGCAACTCTCCTGAGAGAGCAGGAGACAGAAATCACACCCAGTTGCTTGATATTAGTCTCTGCACAGCTGCTTTATGCTCTGTTCTTAATTATCATAACAGTACCCACTAGCACTGCAAAGTTAGGGGCTGTCATCATTTCTATTCTAAATGGTCCTTTCCACAGGCTTATAGCCCAGCCATAAAATTCAACTCTGCCATAGGTGGAAACTCAGCTGCTACAGTCTTGGCCCACGGAGATTTTCAATAAATGCAGTTTGAACTGAGTTGGTTGTTTTCTAGTTAATGAAGGGGAAAGTGCCAGACTGGAAGCCTTAATTATATTCCTGGACTTTGGCAAGTCAAAGTGACTTCTTGGATGTTTCCTTTGTAACTTGTTCATGAACAGCAAATCCTTTTCTATGCCAGTGGGTGCCAAGATTATGGACAGAAAGATTTGGGAACATCTGCTTAAGCTATATGCCAACTGAGTGGAGGAAACGCATGATAAAAGGTCACCAGGTTACTTGGTCTAGAGAGTAAAGCCACCAAGGAAGACCCACCACCCAAACCACCCCATTTCTTTAGAGTTTATAATAATACTCTGGTTTTTATACAGGAGGAAAATGAATGAAGTGAATGAGACTCTTTACAAAACATTTTTTAACCCTAACAAGAGGAACTGATGCTGAAGGAATTCATATTTAAAGGCACTTTTCATGTGGCACTTTAATTAGAGTGGCTCCGAGAGCTGCTGTAATTACAGTGCCGTGGCATCTTGTGTATCAGCATCCCTGTGCTTCAAAATGGAGGCGAAGGTGCTTGAACTGAAGCTCGTTTGACGAGCTCTAGTTCAGGCCCCCTGGCCCCCATTTCAAAGCGTGGGAAGACCGATACAAGACACAGGAGGCTGCTGCAGCACGGTAATTACCATGCTCCAGCAGACTGAATTAATAATTGCAGCACATCAGAGCAGCCTCCGCTCTTGCGTACAGGCACCCCAAGCGAGGCAGCACCCCAGTCCCATGCTCCAACCACTAGGTGGCACCACTTGCTGCGGGTTTTCCCAGGCTAGCCTACGGACCGGGGAGGCAGACTGACCGCGCCCGGCGCAGCACAGCTCACGTGGATTCACCCGAGGGCGCACAAATCCTGTTCACATACCTTGCTTTAAATGAGCAGGGACTCTCGCACAACCGCCCAACGCCTCAAGGAGCTTTTGGTTCACTGAAGAGTACGGTTCATTCCGGGTACACAGGGGTACAGAGCGATTATCCGCCCAAATCCTGACCGCACACTTATGTCCTGGCATCTGATGGAGTTGCCCTCTGCTTACAACATCTTGTTACACATCCCTGGTTGAGTTAGTCTACAAGGTGCACCTCTACCCTGCCTTCAGACTAAATGACCAACTACCTCTCTCTGTTTTTTGAAAACACTGAGCCTTTGCCCGAGATCACTTCAGCGTTCAGTCATCTTCCACCCCGCTTCAGGAATTACAGAAGCGGACCAACTTTTAAAAGACTTAACTGCTCATTTACACTACCTTTATCAAGGCATGCCGTGATCATGGCACTGAAATGGGTTACCTCGGGAGGTGGGGAGTCTCCATCCTCAGAGGTTTTTAAGGCCTGGCCTGACAAAGTCCTGGCTGGGATGATGTAGTTGGGGTTGATCCTCCTTGGAGCAGGGGGTTGGACTAGATGCAACCTCCTGAGGTCCCTTCAGCCCTCATTGTCTGTGATTACAAAGACTGACCCCTGGCAGTGTCTGCATTTATTATGGCCCAATTATTTCTTTCACTCACTACAGTTTTCTCTACGGAACAGTTCGAAGATGCCCCATAGTCACCGTCAGTAGCCCTCATTCTCATGCACTTAGTGATGCTGCAACATTGCGACAGGGGGCAAGCTCGGGGCTGGGTCTCGTGCCAGTCCACCCACCTGTCTCTATGGGGCAGCCTGCCTAGTCTTGCCTGCCATGATTTTGCCGTTTCCATAAACAGGTGGAAAGTGCAGGAGACTGCCTATTACACACCCCAGTGCCAGGGGGCACTATCTGTGGCTCCAAGCCTCCCCTACACTGCAGCCTCACCGATGGCATCCACAAGATACTCACACCCCACACCACGACTGGTGCTCTAGGGTTTCACAGGGAGTTTCACACCTCCCCCAGAGCAGCAGGTCATCATGCCAAAACTACAGGTCTTACTCACAACCCACACTTCGCCTCTGAGCTGTGCAGGACTTACCCCTCATGCTCATCATCCTCACAACTGATTCCTTCTCCCAGGGGGAGGCCCATGTGCTGCCCATCAGGCTTTCCCACAGCCCTACTCAGCCCTTTTCCAGGCCCTCTCTGGGGTTACACATCCACCCCCTCCTTTGGGACTCCAGGGTTACCTTCCCAGGTGGAGGCTCAGGTGGTCATAGCTATGCCTGGTCCCTTGTATCCACCAAGCCATGGGGGCTGGGGGATAAGGCACCCCAGCCCACCTTTCACCAGGGTGGCAACTGACCTGGCATTTCCTGGGGACTGCCACACCACTAGCAGCTCCACCAGGCCACCCATCCCCAGCAGGGCACAGCTTTAGGTCATGCTTAGGACCAAGAGCCCTCTGCTCTTACCTACAACATGCTTTATACAACTTTTCAGCCTGGCAGTGTCCCTACCTAGGCCGCCAGCAGCAAACTGCTGGGTTTATATAGGCAGCCAGGGTTTTAAAATGGCTGTGGCAATCAAGCACCTGCTGGCTGCTTGACTCAGCCCTTAAAGTGGCAGTACCACACACATACATGCAGGTACACGCATGTTCATGCCCATACTTTCACGCACAGTTGCTGCATCTACATGGGATGTTGTCTGCACAGTTGCTCGTTACTACTGCGCAGTAGTGTTGCGTAGCATGAAGCATAATATGATGCTACTGGGCAGTACTAACAAACTACTGCACAGTCAGCATCACCAAAAAGCTGTTCAGGGATGCTACTAAGCAGTAATGCCAGATACTGTACAGTCATTTAGTACTTGTGTATGCAAGTACTAAATGACTGCATAGTAACAACTGCGCAGTCCGCATCTCATGTAGACGCAGCCAGTATTCATAGATTTACAGGAATAGGCACCAATGGGGCACTGCTTTGAATTTAATCTGTAATCTGCTGAATTATAAAAAGTTAAGGAGGAGAGGAGTTGGGAGGCAAGAGGAGGAGGATGCAGAGATGCTCTATTTGACCTCTTAGCTCCATTGCTTTGTGGCACAGTACATGTACTGGTGGTTCCCTGCAAATGCAGGCCAGGAGCTTCTCATCATGATAATCAGCCCTGAATACTTGTGCCAGATGGAGGAGACATGGGAGAAGGTGCATATTGTTTAAGCTCCCTGAGAAAGGTCTCTCTTACCTTACATTGCACACCCCTCTTGGAGTACATTTTAAATGGAAACAACAACACAGTGGTTGAATACACTCCCGCTGTGAGCCAAAACCAGAGTGCTCTTCATCCTGAATTAGTTTTTTGTTGTATTTTACTTTGGCTAATAGAATTTCCATAGGAATAATAAATGCTATTGGAACAGCCCTAATTACGGCAGAATGATGGTCGCACCGGGGACCAAGTCTCCTGTGAACGACTGATGCAAAATCAGAATTCACGAGTGACTTGGGACTCGGCGCCTTGCAGCAGAGCAGAGGCGGTGCCCTCAGGCACTCTGGAGAGGAAGCGAGGGAGATGCTTTAAACAGCTCTGCTTTTAAAGTGTCCCCTGATAATCAATCCACACACCAGCATGGGCAGCGGCCCTGGAGGAAACTGTAAGTGTTCCACTCTGCTGGCTGGAGAGAAAGGACCGTGACCACTGGAGCTGGCAGGCAAGGGATATGAGGATGCAGATGATAAGGCGTGATCCAGACCATGAAATGCCCCGCTGTAACCAAAGTCATGGTCTGGGATTAGGCAGAAGGGCGAAGCTGTTCATCTACTAGTGTTCTCATCCACCAAGGGAAACACCCCTCAAAGGCATGTGCAATACAAAAACAGAGCGCTCAACCAGACCTAGGTATTTATTTTCTCACCTCTATAAATTTTTCTTCATTCACTTTTTCTTCCAGCGTGTCTATGGTTTCCAGCTTTCTGTCGTAGATCCCTGGTGAAGAAGAAACTAGTATTAGCCAGAATATGGGCAGATGAGTCCCTGCTGAACTGTATTGCATTTTGCACCTCCGATGTGTATACCTTCCTACTGTGTTGCATGTATCTAGGGCCACACTGCACTGTGGTTGTGTGAACGCCTGGAATTGAAGTACCTACACTGAGATCCTGTTTGCTCATCTCTGCTCCCAAATCCACGGTGAGTTTCCTGAGTGTACAAAGGCAACTGCTTCTGATTCTTACAACCCCCGTCATCACTGCCAATCACTCACAAGCAGGGCTGGTTGTACAGACACTGTTTCTTGGCGACAGAGCCACAGAATAAGAAGGTACAACTCACACTGACTTCTGTTTAGGTCAGGGCAGAAGTGGTTGATAGTTTGATAGACTGGTTCAGTTCCTTTAAATATTGGGAACCTGTTACTGGTACATTGCAACTGCAAAATAACTTTGAACTTCCTAACTAGAAGCAGATCTCCTCTATCCTGAGAGCAATAACCTGTCAGCCTAGCAGCCATATGAAGAAAATCCTATTGACTTTACAACATTTGCAACCATATTTTAGCCCAATTCTGGGCCACAGCAGTGGAACTGAGAAGAATGCCAAGTGTCTGTTAAGGTTTGTGTAGGAGGTCTTGAGAGGAGAAATGTTATTTCTTTTGGGAATATTATTCTGTTATTCTTTCTTCTACAATACAGCAAGTGAAACATCAGGAATAATGAGTAAACTCCCAGTGGAGCCCATATACTTCTTGTTTCTCAAGACATTCATAAGCTATACATTATCTTTATTAAACTATAAAACATGGCTTAATGTTCACTTAGTGGGCACTGGACTCTATTAAATGAAATGCACCAGAAATAGAGCAGAGCTGTTAGCAGACTACTGCAGCGCCTGTCTTGAACAACTGTAGATCAAACAGCTGAACAGGAATTTTCTCCTTTTACTGTGCCAGCTTTCCATCAGACTGGGAAGAATTAGGAAGCAGTGCCACAGCGCCAATAGCACGGGAGGACAGCAGTTGACATTGCAGGTTGACACTGCACGTTACCAATGTAAGCTCAGAGGAAAGCTTCTGCAACAAAGAATGTGTTGGGCAAAGGCAAGGATGAAGGTTTTTCCAGTGGAGGACTGAAATGTGCTCTGGCATGCCCTGTAGAGCCTCACATCCAGAAGGTGATTACAGATGATCATTATACCTCTGTTTATTTAAGAGGTCTGACAGCAGACTTTATGCTGCCACTTCAACCTAGTTCTAGCCCTATATATTCAATTATCATTATTTAATGATGTCAAGCGTAAGCCATAAAGTGGACAAGAATTATGTAAATCCTTTCACTGCTGAGTGTGCTGGTGTCTGGGCCCTATCTCGCTGTATGTTGCTGTCATTCCTCCACTGGCCAAGGAAGATGCACTTGTTTGGGGAATCTCGAGGGTTTCTCTCAAGCCCCAGAAGGGAGCAGCACTTCTGTGCTTGCTTTTTTTCACCCACTACCAAATGTGCAAGGCTCTTCCTTTATAGCCAACATCTTTGCCAGCTCGACCCTCCTCACAGAGTCCATGCTCGCTTTCCTTCTGCCCATGTGTGCTGCCAGAAACCATACCAGAACCTAGTGCTCTTACCTAGTCCAGCACCCGGGGAAGCAGAAGAGACAACATCCAGAAATGACCTCAGGGCACTCTGAACCTAGAAATCAAAGCAACAGTTAAAGGTCTGCTTTTGTGATCATTAATACATTTACGCTGGGAAGAATAGGCATCTCTGGCTGTCTTGGGACCTTCCCACTAAAGTGGGGCCATCCTCATGGATGTTACAGCTGCTGCCTTCTGGCACCTTCCCACTGGCGGAAATTCAGGCCCTGGGTAAGTTAAATCCCCATAGTGATAATGAGGTTAAGGACAGTTATACAAGTGATGTAGCTAGCACCTAGGAAAGGTATTTCTGTAGCACAGTGCCAGCCACCCAGACAGTTCTGCCATGATGGCCTCAAGACAGATGCAACACTGCCAGCTCAGATTAAAAGGCAGTAAAGGAGACTTGATGGTGGGTCTGGATGGACAGGAATAACTGACTCCTGATTTCTGGCATGGGTTGTCTGAGGCCTCATAGCACCTCTGGGAGGGCGGGCACTGATATCATTCTCACTGTACAGATGGGAACCGAAGCCAACAGAGGCTGAGCGCCTTGCCCAGGTTCATACAGGAAGTCTTTGGTGGAGCAGACCGGAGCCCAGGCCCCCAGCTTGCACCCTGATCACCAGACCATCACCATCCTGCTGCTCCCTTGTTGCTCTTTGCTACAGCAGACTGCGCTGCCGCAAACACCTCCGCTCTCCTCCTCCCTGGGGTTCATGCAGCAGTGCTGCTACGGATGCGTGCCCCAATTACCAGTGCGAGCGGTATCCTTCCACTGACATCCAACGTCCACTCCTTGAACTGCACTGCCAGGGCCTTCTTCCGCATCTCTGTCACCTGAGACTTGATTCTCTCCACCTGCTCCCTTTGCTCACGTTTTCTCTTTACCTCTGACTTCATCCTGGCTAGCCTGTAGGGCAGGGGCATACAGTTTAGAAAGACACTGTCATGGCCTGATCTAAGCTCCACTTGGTCTCCCCTGAAGAGCTGCAAGAAAGAGAGTAGCTGCTCACTGCAAGTCCTGTACTTTTAGGTATGAGGTTTCTTCCCCAATGAGGGATTTGCTGTTGTGGGCAATAAATAGTCAGCCCAGATATCTGAATTGTGGGCAGCCCTTGGAAGGTGAGAGTGTTTGTGCTGTGTAGCATATGCCTCTCCTGGAGGTCCATGCAACTGAGAATCTGAATGAGGAATTTCTGGGTACCAGGTGCATGATTATGGAGAAAACCTTTTTTTTGAAAAGTGCAGTGAACTCTCTCTGAGCCCAGACAGCGACAGGCAGTTAGGGGCAGAATCACCCCGGTGCAAAATGACCGGTTTGTGTAGTTACAGCAGTGATGAATTTTGCCTTTAATAACTGAACACATCTATAATGGTGCTAATCATTAATTATGTAGAAGTTCTTCAATTTTCCTGCT